ATGGCTTGAAGGAGATGAGATGGAATAGGATCAAGCGGACAAGTAGTAGGATGATTAGAAAGGATGAGTTTCTGCCTCAGAGAGTGGAGAGAAGGATGAGAATGAGTGTATGTTTGCTGGTAAGATGTGTTTGACAGTTTGTGGTGTGGAGAATTGTGCACTGATGGTTGCAATCTCATTAATGAAGAATGTGGCAAAGTCATCAGCTATTAAAGTTGACAAAGGAGGAAGGAAGATGTATTAAAGAGCATGTGAGAGTTAGACAAATTGAAGGGTTTAAGGAAGAGCTGGCCTGGAAGACAAGGGGCAGACAGTGTTTAAACAAGATGTAAGAGTGGAGCAGAATCAGTAGCACTGTTAGCATGAAGAGATGCTAATTGTTTAGGGCAGTGGTTCTCAACCTTTTTTTCCACTGGGCCGCACATGACACATAGACACATAGATGGCGGCACGAATGGACGCAGGGGCCCCTCTCTCTCTGACATCGGAGTTTAATTGTGCATTTTCGAGTGCTTTTTGTTCACGTTCATGTTTGTGTAGTTCGCCGTCATCTTTGTCTCACGTAAGATACAGTCGCCATTTCCTTTTGGAAACTGAAACAAGGACAATAAACCACATCTTGGACAACACAATATCTGAGGAACTTCGAGCCCTTGGTATATTCCGCTGGCCAACTAAAACACCACCTCGCCTGCTACTCCTCACCCAGAGAGGAGGCGCCAAAAGTACTGCGAGAGGAAGCAGAAGCGAGGCAAACACAGAGGCATCCAGGCTAGGCTAGCAGCTAGCCCACACAGACCCACGATACCATCCCTCATTCTAGCAAATGTAAGATCACTGGATAATAAAATGGACCACATACAACTTATAAGATCTGCACAGTGTGAGGTGAGAGAATGTTGTGTTTACATCTTTACGGAGACGTGGTTAAATGACAACATACCAGACTCCGCTCTCCAGCTAGCTGGGCTAACATGCTACCGCACTGACCAAGTCTGTGCTGAGGGAGGTAAGACTCGCTGCGGGGGTGTTTGTGTTTATATCAGCGATGCTTGGTGCCAAAATACTGCTGTTGTTCGTAAACACTGTTCTCCGCTGGTAGAGTTTATTATTATCAAGTGCCGACCCTTCTACCTACCGAGGGAATTTACAGTGTTTTTTACAGAATTTAATCGTCGCTGTTTATATACCCCCCAGCGCTAACAACAGCGAATGAATCGAGGCACTCAGCGAACTTTACCAGGCTATCAGCGCGCAACAGAGAGCACACCCGGACGGATTTCTCATCACTGCTGTGAACTTTTCTACAAAAACTTCATCAGCACATAGACTTTCCCACAAGGGGCAACAATACATTGGACTTGGCATACACAAACAGCAAAGCAGCATACAAAGCCTCCCCCTCTCCCGCCTTGGACTCTCTGACCACATCACCATCATGCTCAGACCTGCGTACAGACCGAAGGTGAAAGTCACCAGACCAACCAAGAAGGAGGTACGTGTGTGGCCAGAGGGGGCCCAGTCTGCCCTTAAAGACTGCTTTGACACAACAGACTGGGACATCTTTAAAGAAGCAGCAACTTACAACAACCACACAGACATAGAGGAATATACTGAAGCTGTTACTGCTTACATCTCAAAGTGCACTGATGACGTCACACACAGGAAAACCATCACTATTTGGGCTAACCAGAAACCATGGCTGACAGGAGAAGTGCACAAGCTTCTGAGGGCTCGGGACGCAGCTTTTAGAGCTGGTGACACTGCAGGCCTAGCAACAGCAAGAGCCAACTTGTCCCGTGGAATCAGGGAAGCAAAACAACAATACAGCAATAAAATATCTGGACATTTCAGCAACACCAGAGACACACAGAGTCTCTGGCAAGGCATCAAAACTCGAACAAATTATAAAGCCCTACCACGGACCTGTGACAGTGACATATATGATTAACTGCCTTAATGAATTCTTTGGCCGATTTGAGACCACATTTCCCACACGAGCAGGCTGTGTGTCTGACCCCAGACAGCGTGAAAAAGACCCTCCTGAGGATCAACCCACGCAAGGCAGCCGGACCAGACAACATACCTGGTCGGGTTCTAAAGGACTGTGCTGAAGAACTCAAGGATGTACTAACTGACATTTTTAACATATCGCTGAGTCAAACAGTTGTCCCCAAGTGTTTCAAGGCCACCATAATAATTCCAGTCCCATAGAAGCCACACCCATCCAGCCACAACGACTACCGGCCTGTTGCACTGACCCCATCATTATGAAGTGCTTTGAGTGACTGGTCATGCAGCACATAAAATCCTTTCTTCCTCCCTCCCACGACCCGTTCCAATTTGCATACAGAACCAACAGGTCCATGGAAGATGCCATCTCAGCTGCTCTCAATCCAGCCCTTACACACCTGGACTCCAAAGACTCCTATGTGCGAATGCTATTCTTGGATTTTAGTTCAGCATTTAACACAATCATCCCACAGCAGCTAATAAACAAACTGAGACACTTGGGACTCAACTCCCCTCTTTGTAACTGGGTGCTGCACTTCCTATCAGAGAGACCACAAATGTACAGGTTGGCGGAAAAACATCTAAGACCGTCACGCTAAGCACAGGGGCACCACAAGGGTGCGTACTCAGCCCGCTGCTCTTCACCCTGTTGTAGCGAATCACCTCCTGGGGAAATATGAATAATTAACCATAACTAGTTATAATCAACTATTCATATATTAGATCCGCACCCATGATTGTGTACCCAGTCACAGTACCAACCACATCATCAAGTTTGTGGATGACACGACTGTAGTTGGCCTCATCACCAACAACAATGAGGCCAACTACAGGAGCGAAGTGAGCCGACTGGTCCAGTGGTGTAATGACATCAATCTCTTCCTCATTGTGTGGAAGACCAAAGAACTTACCATCGACTTCATAAGAAGACCTCCACAGCACCCCCCCACTAACCATCAACAGTGCCTTAGTGGAGAGGGTGAGCAGCACCAAGTTCCTAGGGGTGCATATCTCTGAAGACCTCTCCTGGATGACAAACACCCCATCACTGGCCAAGGCTCAGTCACACCTCTACTTCCTCCACAAACTGAGGAAAGCATGAGTCCCACCTCTCATCATGTGCTCCTTCTACCAGGGCAACATTGAAAGCATCCTCACCAGCTGCATCCTGTCGAAAGACTCTGCAACGCATAGTGAATGCAGCCAGCAAGATCATCGGTGTCTCTCTGCCCTCCCTTATGGACATCTTCCACACCCACCTCACTAGCAGAGCCATCAGCATCGCTGCTGATAGCTCACACCCGTTAAACCTCCACTTCAGACTTCTGCCTTCAGGGAGAATGTACCGGAGCCTCCAGGCTCGCTCCACAAGGCTTTCAAACAGCTTCGTCCATCAGGCTGTCAGGAAGCTGAACCCTGTCCATTACCTCCCCCCCTCTTCCACCTACTCTTGGACTTTAAAAAATCTACAGTTCACCCCACATTTCTTTCATTGCACAAAGACACTTTATACTCTCTGCACTTTACAGACTTTTGCACTAATCTGTCTTGTAGCTTACAAATGCCTTTATACTCAGAACTTCAAAATGTTTACATATTTTGGATGTATATTTGCACTTTACAAATTGTTTACATATATTTGTGATGTATATTTGTACCTTAACAAAGTTCACTGTTTACATATACTCGTGTATATTCATTCAGAAGTTTTGCAAGATTTACTCGGTCTATATATATATATATACAGTATATCCGTTTAGTATTTCACACTGCTGTTACCTGCATACAAAAATCTGTTTTATATTGCACTGACTGCGATAATATTTTATTTTTTTATACAAACTTCTGTATTGCATTGACAATGTAAATGCTTGATGAGAGAGAAGAGAAACTGTATTTAAATTCATCTGTATGTCTGCAGATATGGTTCAATAAGGCTCTGCTAATCAAATGTCTTTGATTAACTGATCATCAGCAAGTGTGCCTCTATAAAAGCAGATGTTTTGGTAGTTTGCTGGTCTGGAGCCTTCAGGTGTAGTAGTAGGTCCAAAAACAAGAACTCATTATTTCAATGTGAGATGGTGAGCATTAGGAAAACAGTCCAAAGATCATTCACATTTTCTGCATGAGCTACAAAACACTTCATCCAATTATCATTGTGTCTCCTTTTCCTCTTAAACGGCTTGATCTCAGGAGGTTTGACAGATTTAAAACACTATGAAATTGGAAAAGGATTAAAGACACCAAATTGACAAAACATACACATTTCCTTTATTTCCTCAAGTTCCTGTGCCTTTATTATTACTGAGCTTCAGCAAATGAGCAAAAAAAAGTACAATTTAATTATTGTTATTATTTTAAAACAACAGAAAAACAATGTATAAACATTAAATCATGTTTTTTAAATATTTATTCTAGAATGCTTCATGAAGTGTTAATTTATGGTACTGTGGGAAGAGTTTTAATTATAAATTTGGAGTTACTGCATTGCTGCACATTCAAAGAATCACTAAGGGATTGATTTATACAACGTCTGATCATAGGGCTTATTAATGCTTCTATAGTTTATGACTGCAGATGTAAAATGAACATTTTTGAACTCAGAAATTTCCATTAGCTTAGTAAAAGACAAGCTCCTTCATTTGAATTCAGGGATATCATTAAAAACACGAAAGAGTTTTGCATCAGCAAAAATACAGTATATCTGCTGAAAAACTGAATCCTAACTATTATGTTTTTACTCTTGAAATATTCTCATCAATAGTTGCTTCTTATTAGTTGAATGTACATTCCTCTTGCTTTAAGAAAAAGAAAAAAGCTTGGAAAAACTGCAAGTATGAAAGTATGGACAAATAAACATTCAAACTAGAAAAAAAACAGCTATAACAAGACAGGTGTACACTTGGCCCCATCATAACCGAACCACCACACAGAAAACGTGCTTGAATGAACCCCTTCTTTAAAAAACAGCTCAGTTCATATCTCATCTTGTAAGTTCATACAGTGTCGATTTTCAGTGCTTTATCGTTCAGGAGTCATTCATGAACTCGTGTCCACAATGTCCATCGGCTCTTCCTTCTCCGATCCATTCGACTGGTTGCAGTCCGTTGCGTTCTTCTCATGGCTCTCTGATTGGACGCTCGTCATCATCATGCCAGGCCTGGGAATCTTCTCAGACTGTGTTGGTGCATTGTGTTTAGGGCTGTCAGTCACTGTCCTGTCCTCACTCGTACCTGAGGCAGTTTCTTCACGCTCCTCCTGGGAGTCAGCAGCACAGAGCAGATGGTCCGTCTCGTCCCGAGAGTCGTCACAGTCTGCTGATCCTGCGCTTGGACCGGCTACATGCTCACAACCAGCATCCGAGGCCTCCGCCACTTGCTCAGGCTTCTGGATGACCTGTTGGCCTTCAGCACAGCTCGGCTCATCGCTGACAGTCTCTCCGTTGTTAACACCGGTGCCATTACTGAGAACAGCGTCTGGATTGGGCTCCTGATCTTCTGCAGAGCCCTCTGAGTGTTTCTCAGAGTTGACTCTCATTATGGAGTCACTGTCGACTTGCTTCTTTGCATCTGTGAAATCAGCGACAGGCTTGCTATGTTTTGGCTCACTTGCGGCTTCTCCGTCTTTATTTTTGTATGGTGAGTGACCTTCGTCCTGCACTGCGCTCTCTCCGCTGCCAGCTGAAGAGTTCTGCCTCTTCTCCGACTTCTTCTTGAAGCGTTTCTGGATTTTTCTGGGGCACCACACAAACTTGTCTTTGGGCTCAAAGTGCTGGAAGGCGAAGCGCACCAGCTTCCTGCGCTCACGCTTGTCCCGCACGGCAAACAGGAAGTAGTCGAGCACACTGCGTTTAACGCTGCTGAGGGTCTTTCTGACGAGGGTCTCCTCCAGGAAGAAGCGCACCAGAGGGGCTTGGAAATGATCAAAACCCAGCTCTCCCAGGCTCTTGAGTATCCTTGTGATTCGGAGATTATTGTGCATGTTTCTGAAAGCAGATGTGAAATTATTTTTAGTGGCATGTGAGAAAGAATGTCTGGAAATAAAGAAAGAGTGAAAAGGTTTCAATACATCCTAATACACTCTATCAGCCCACATGTCATTCTGAAATGTAGTTATTATTATTATTTATTTTTCTAGCAAATGCACGTTTTTCACTTTTTATTTGGAGTCAACAGAATGACTTCTGTCTGAAAGTCACTATGCTGTCTGGAAAGCCCTTCAATAAACTGCAGATTTGTTTGGTGACAAAACTGGTTTCATTAATTTGCATTAATTCATTAATTTTCATTCTTTGCATCTGATTAATAAATCCGATGCAAAGCATAAAATGGTAAAAAAAAAACATGATTGTATAAAATGTTTTTAATGTTATCATTATGAGAAAAAAAATACAACTGCAATCAGAAATCATCAGGGTCCAAGCACTAATGTAGACAATTCAGTGATAATGAAACTGTCATCTAGCTTTTCAAAACATAGTGTTTTTAAGTGTCTCTTCAAAAAACATTATGATATTTATTAACAGATACAATTCTATTTTCTCAGATTTTCTCCTATCTCCATAGAAAAGCAATATATTCAGTTTCATTAGGATGTGTGTGTGTGTGTGTGTATATACAGTGGGGCAAAAAAGTATTTATATATATACAGTATATACATACACACAAAATGAAATAAGGAATTATTTATAAATTTAAGCATGCTGGAGATCAGTTTTCTTTTCAAACTAATTATATTAAACTCAGTAAATGTTTGTGTACCATGGTTGTAGAAATACATTTCTTTGCATTTTGTATTGAACCATTGACACTAATGCTAAACTGAGCTCTAAAAGGTTTTCTTATCCTCTAGTGAACAAAATCAGTATTACAGTCTTCATTTGTCCTTCACATGGGTGTGGGAATGGTTCATCATTTAAAATGGCTGTAATTATGAAATCTTTTGTCAGAATGTCCTGTTTTTCATGTGTTTTGTGAAGTTTGGACATTGTGACATAAATAAGGGCCAATCACTCAATATCTGCCACATTTCAAAATATATCAGCCTGTATCTGTTAAACAGTTTAATACATCTGTTACTCTTTTGATAACATTTTGTTATAAGTGACTCGAGATTAGTAAAGTAAATGAGTTTATTATAATGCAGCCAATGTTCACTAAATAGTCACCTCATGTAGTTACATGAGGTGACTATTTAGTGAACATTGGCTGCATTATAATAAACTCATTTACTTTAGGTACAAAAGGTACAAAATGGTACAAAACCATTGTACCTAATGGTTACATTAGGTACAAAAGGTACATTTGATTAGTACTAATCAAATGTAATTAAGTTCTGACAGTTTTTAGTTGTAGTGGCCTGAGATCTGGGGCGTCACTAGAGCACGAGCCCTGGGAGAATATTACTGATAAATGCTCGTGTGTCGATGGGATTGGCGTACACTGACCCGAGAGTCATTTCCCTGATAATATTTCAGCAGTCAATCGTGTGTTTAGAATCAGCAATAGCAAATTCACAAAGCAATTAATATTTTGATCTAATCGGTAAAAAGAGTCTACAAAAGGTCTGAAACTAATAATAATAATAATGTATTGAGTATAATTTTAACTCAAATTATTAAATGGATGCCGCCTTATTGGGACATTAAAGCCCTCTCTACACCGACTCTAACCCTACCCCATACTTTATTTTCAATTTTTCAATTATTTCCTTCATTTTTGTTGAAAATAAATGCCTTTCCGATGTGATATGAGATTTGAAAAGGGTTGATCACGTCAAAAAGACTACAGCACGCACTTTACCATCTACACCACTGGAGCTGATGTTGACCAGCGTCTTTTGTAATGTTGACTCAATCTCAATCACACATTGATGGGCGGAGTCAAGTGTAAATAGCCTCTCCAGGAGCGCTGGACGAAAAATATATTTTGTAGGAAACAAAACTGCCAAATGACTTCTATCATTTACTGTGAGTGCACAGATGATTCATATCCATATCCAAAACAGTATTAAAAAGTATGCGCACGCTTTTTTGATGAGGGGTCTGTGACCCAGTACTGGTGAGGAACTTACTAAATGCCTGGAATCTAAACAGTAGATTTCTTCTGTACACTAGAAGAACAATGAACAGCCAGCGTTTGATTTGAAGGAAGATGTTTAATGATTGCTGCTCATCTCAGGACAGGCAGGAGTCACCTCACCTCTCTAGATTGGCGAATCTCTCCCTCCAGTTCTCGGCGCGCTTCACCTCCCCGGTTTCTCTGTTCAGCAGCTGCATGCCATAGAAACCCAGCATGAGCTCATAGGAATCCAGAAGACGACTCTTAGCTTCATCGCTCTCTCTGAAGGCCTGTGGACGACAGGACGAGAGCCAGCTTCAGTCCCACAGCACAGTTTAGAGTCTCTGGAACAGGGTTTATTAGACTTGGGGATCGTCATGACTTACTTGGATTTCTTTCTTGGTGAGTTCTGCAGCCATGTAGTTCACTCCTGGCTCTCGCAGAGGAAACAACCTACAAACAACACAGCTTTAGGTTTCTAAAGTAGGGGTGTAGCGGTTCACACCGGAAACTTTCAGTACGGGTGAAATAAACATGAATGAACATCTCATGTAATCACTCAATCAGTGTTTCAACTGAAAGACGTCAATAAAACAGCTGGTAAACAATATCGCGTAGCATTTCATTTACCTCAGGCAAGTCATCAGTGTCACAGCTCGTTTTTACTAGAAAAATCAAGCCTAGAGAACAGCATTTCACCAAATGTTAGACTATAAACTCATTATATTTTACTTTACCTGTTCGTGATGTCTAAATTATTTAATGTATGTTTAAATAAATCTGTTACGAAACAAGTTATGGCAGCCACTGTGTAAATGAATATATTTCAACAACAAATAGAAATTTTATAATTTAGAAGTTAATTTAAAAACTGCATTATGTGCAATTTACATGCAATTTTTTTTAAGTTGAGTGTTGATTATTATAGTTAAAAATAAATAGTAATTGAATTTAAGTTGGGGCTCTGTTGTTAACTGTAACCTTATAGTAATGTGAAAGGGCTCACTGTAGTTTAGAGCAGAAGCTGAGGTAGATTTTCATCCCTAAGAACATTTTTATTATAATTGAATTTATTTCAAGAAATAGCAATTTGTTCAGTAAACCACTGTTAAATAATAATAATAATAATAAAAAAGGAATATTATGTTTAGTTTTTCCCCCTGCTGGTTCGATCCGTCATGTTTGTGTAGCGTTACAGCCCTAATCTAAAGCATCTCATCTGCTTAACAAAACCTAGTCAAAAGGAGACTTGGACAGACACGGTCACAATCCCTCACAGGGCAAACCAATTATCATGAGGAGCCACGTTTCTTACCACTGAATGTAGGAGTGAACTCGCTCCAGTCTTTTGTAATCAGTTCTCCACTCGGTGTGAAATGTCTCAATCGACACATCTGAGGACCACAAGAAACATGACAAGAGCTCAAAAACAAAGCCAACAGGAAAACAAGTGCAATACACTTCAACTCGGGACTTGCTATTGCAGCTCAAGAGAAAGCGGAGACGTACCATCAGGTGACGATTTAATTTCATTGAGATAGAATTTTAAATTCATCATTCTTTCTTCTGGACATTCCTCTTCATTGATGTTCTACAGCGAGATGATAGAAGATCATCACATCAGCACGTCAGGGGTTTTTGTAATGAATTCAGAGTGCACTATTTAGTTTATTTTAGGAGAATGGCAGACTCTTACTGGATATCCGTGTCTGTAGTTCTGCATGTCCTTGGCCGCTCTGAGGTTTCTTGAGGAGGAGTTGGACCACTGCAAAGAACCAAGGGCCAAACATTAGTTTCAACTTCCTGCTTTAAATGGATGCGTCCCAAATCCCAATCTATTCATGGTAGATTGCTGGAGAACAGTGGCTCTTTAACGTTTCAGACTTTTTCAGGAAATTATAAATTGAATAAAAAATAGCAGCAGGCAGCAACTATAGCCGCGTTTACACCGCAGGAACTTTACCCAGGAACTAGGGACTTGCGGTGCGTTCCAAACGGGATATATCACCCTCCGAAGGGCACTTCAGAGTGAAAACAATCATGGACACCATATTGAAGGTGCTCAAAACTGCCCACTTCAAAGGGCCCTTCGGAATGCAGGATTTTGAAGAGTACAACTGATGGACACTTTGGGCTCCCATGATCCTTTGCGCAGATTCTTTGCATGATGACGGCGCCTCTGTGTGGGCACGTGATGATGAAGCAGAAGGGCACTTCAAGAAACAACTGTTTGGTCCCCTAAACCCTTCAACCCTTCGAAGCGCTCACTCTGGAGGGTAAACCCTGTGAAGGGATTAGGGTGTAGGGATGAGCCCTTCCGAATGGAACGCAGGGTTTGGGCCGGTACTCGGTGTGTTTCCAACACAGGAACCAGAATCTAAATAAAGTTCCGGGATAAAAAATTGCCCCTCAGAAAGTCCCTGCTCGTGAGGTAGTTCTTTTTCAAAGGTCCGGAACTTTTGGGAACTTGGGCACTAAACATGCTGATTGGTTGAGTTCACGCAGCATTGTATTTCAACCACCATTTATTCTGATAATTTTCTAAATATTACTGTTATTGTGTCATGAAATGTAGTTTTAAGAGTATTTCTGGCGAGAATGTAGTTGTTTAAAACTCAAATCTGCGGTTTATTTATAAAGACAGTGCCTATTTAAAAATGTAAATTTTTACATGATTCGCTGATTTCGGAGACGTGAGCTCCACGCGATCAGCAGGCGCTCAGTGCTCATGTTTCCCAACGAGAGCAGCCTCAACTCAGCTAGTCCTTCTGACATTTGCCGCTGGCTCTGATGTCTCTGTAGTGGTTAATCATGAGATATAATTAAATTTGGGTAAATCTAACAGGTAATCTTTGGTCTTTATTCTATTAATCTATTAATATGTTAAAATGAAAATAAAAAGAGGCAATACTGTTTGATTTAATATTTCGTTTTATTTTAATGTAGGCTATATACATTCCCTGAACTACATTTCTGCGGCTATTAATATGTTTAAATGAAACGAAAGGAGGCAGTGGTGTTTGATATATTTTGTCTTATTGTAAATACAGAGAGGAAAATTGCAGTAGCCAAGGTGAGCTGACTGACGTTATCAAGTACGCTGTGTTTTGCAGAATTACTGGACTTGTGTCGTCCCGTCCTCCTGAGTTGAACTCACGAAGTCCGAACTACCGAGGATGCAAGTCCGAAATTATTGTACTTGCTATTAAGAAACGCGCGCAGACCTAAGTCACCAGGCTATTTGCCTAATCTTCTCGGTACTTTAGACCGCGACAGAAATGCAGACAGCAACAGGTCCGGGGGAAAAAAAGTTCCTGGGACAAATTGTTCCTGGTAATTTTGGTGGAAAAGCGTCCAAGCAGCTAAAGCTGTCTTTCACTCAAACGAATGCAGGTGATTCAGTGAACCACACACTTTGATTGTGTTTAGTCTCATATAGACTGTTTGCTCATCCCAGTCATTGTAGGAGCTTCCTGTGAAATTTCTACTACACTGTACAAAGCTGCTCAAGCGATTCAGCAAAGAATTCTCCTGGCTAACTATTAACAGTATGCATTTTACTCTCGAATAGACCATTTTTAAAAATCCTCCACAACACCAGGTCAAATTCAATCAAACTCATTTTAGTTAAATATAACTAATGTGTTACACAACAGAGCTATGTATTTTCAAAGATCTGTGTTTAAGTTTAGCTAAAGACTGATGTGAATGCACTGCAGGTCAGGGTCAGACGGGGTCAGATGACCTCCAAGACCACCTCCACAGACGCCACAACACTTTTGATGAACGGCCACTCTGTTTTTAATTTAGTCACTATCAACATTTGTGAGATTTATTCATTCAAAACTGTTTTGAGGTTTTCTCTGGAAAATAGTGATCTATGACATTTGTGTGTGTTGATTTGTTAATGAGTATTTTTATTTTGAAGTAAACAGTTAAAATTGTACCCTTGGGGTCAGAACTGGCACAGAAGGACCCTAGCAGTGTGCCGTTGCATGTTTCAGACATCTTCGCTCTAGGTTAACTGAGTTAGCATTCATAGCGTTGCTATTATGCCTCGACCTCATAGAATAATTTTACCTTTTAAATTAATCTCCATTACTGGGATACTGCTTTGTCTGTCATCGGTTATTCATCTAAATTGTCCAAATAAAATCTTAAATAGAATATTTAATTTAGTATTGTACAATAATGACATTAAAATCAGATAAATACTAATAAGAATTTTATCAAAATTCATTTATACATTCCATAAAAGTTTATCTAGGGCGTCTTATGCCTCTTGTAATATTTTGTGCTATTTAACAACTAAAAGAGCAATGTTTGTTTTATTTCCTATATGAACACATTGGCTGATGCATCATTTGCACATGCTAACTTGTTTCTAAATATGTTACATTTGTAAAGGAACGTCACATTGTTCTTGTCCATCTTACCCTTATGTCAAATATTGTAAGGATATATTATGCTGTATCAAACTGACATTTTTAGGAAAAGCAGGAACACACTGCCTCATCTCTGAAGGCTAGAATTCAGTGGCAAGGACTCAAATGATTATAGGCCTTATTCGATATAACAGTATTAAACAGAGTCACACGGTCCGGTCTAAAAATCCAGTGGATTTTGCATTATGCTTATTGTTAGGGTTAGAGTCATGAGCAAATGCTGTGAAAGATTGAAATATAGCCGACGGAAGGTGTTTCAAACAACTTGCGATCGTCTGTGGCCTAATGTGCGTCCAGCAGATGATGTGGAGATCGGACGCGAGTGACGCACTTCCGGTCAGCAGCGCTGATATTAAATAACTAGCTAGCGTGCTATTCTATCAAACACAATCAAATATTAGAAGTAAAGCACATGCAAAGAAATAACCTCTCAAGGGGGTTTATATACACATCCCCTCCTCGAGCGTTAGCGATGGTAAGATGCGCGCGGAGTTAGCGGAGCGTCTCACACCGAACACATACCAAATCAAATACACGACTGCTGCGACAAGCACAGCACGGTTTGTGTGTAAAACCCCACACAGAGCAGCAGAGGCAGAGGAGCGAGAGAGAGTATAAACCCCACACAGAGCAGCAGAGGGGCGAGAGAGAGACGTACGAAAGCGGGCCGTGTTTTCTTGCTGCGGCCGGTGTTCTCCAGCTCGTCGCCGTCGCTCTCCGTGTCCCAGGTGGAGTCATATTCACACACCAGATCGTCGTCCATCCCTGAAGATCATGTGAGTGGTGATAAATGCGGTCAGTAAGCTGGAGTGGGATGGGGATCCGCACAGCTCCATTGGATGTGCAGTGCTCGGCGGCCTGACTCACTGCGCTCCCCGCAGTCACTCCCTCACTCACTCACTCACTCTCTCAGTGGAGTCTGGCCTGTACACATATACACTCCTGTTCTACAGCATCATTACATGGGCGTCAAACTCACGAGCAAGCGAAGTGTAACCTTATGTGTGTGCTTTTATTTTATTTTAACCATGCTGTACCCAGGACAGACATGCTCATAATGAATCCAGAAAGAGTTTTGCTCCTTTTATCTGTTTGGATCAAGCCATTTGCAAGTTTTGTTTTATAGTGCAATACATTGTAATTAATATCACCTAATCCAGCATTTTTTTTCTCTTATAAAATAAATTGTTGCACCGTAAGACACACAGACACAAGACATGATTTCTGAAATATTATCAGGGAAAAATGACTTTTAGATTATGGCAAGCCGTTTTAACATTTAATCTATAAACCGCACTAGTATTTAATTTAACGTTACTAGTACTTATTTTTTAGATACTAGTACTTATCGATTAGGTACTAGTACTTATTTATTAGATACTAGTGCTTATTTATTAGGTACTAGTACTTATTTATTAGATACTAGTACTTATTGATTAGGTAGTAGTACTTATTTATTAGATACTAGTGCTTATTCATTAGATACTAGTACTTATTTATTAGATACTAGTGCTTATTCATTAGATACTAGTACTTATTTATTAGATACTAGTGCTTATTCATTAGATACTAGTACTTATTTATTAGATGCTAGTGGTTATTCATTAGGTACTAGTACTTATTCATTAGATACTAGTACTTATTTATTAGATACTAGTGCTTATTCATTAGATACTAGTACTTATTTATTAGAT